AACTAAACTCTCGTAGGTAAGGACGCAAGTTTATTTAATAGATTGCGAACCAGTATTGGCTTTGTTCGACATTATTTGCAAAGTAAACGGGCTCTAAGATGACATAGAAGGATAAAGGAGTCCACAGAGGTGGATCGGAGAGTAGCAAGAACACTAAGTGCTGGCACGTCCGCTATCTTTCTACATAATCGCTTTAATACCCGTTAACCAATTGTCCTTGGCCCTTGTTTACTTAACGAGCAGATATGCGATCTATTCGAAATGTGTGCGATAGTTGATGTAGTACATTATTAAAATAGATCGAACAAATATCACATTTCCTAATACCACATGTGACCTAATCTGATAATTAAAGACTTCCGAAACTGCGCGGTGAATGTGAATGAGGCCGTTGTTGTATTTAATTTTATATGAAACTATTTAAAACTACACGAAAATGACATAGTATCTTTTCTATGTAACAGATAACGTTCATACATTATGCAAAACACTTAATTTTTTCTTTCATTATTAAAGTTAGAAACTGTAATAAGATAAGTAACTATAGTAAGGTAAAGTATAATAACACCTACTCGATCTCTCCTCATTATAATTAAGATAGTGTTCTACAAAAATAAAAAAAAAGCGAACCGATTTTGATAAAATTTCTATGGGACCAATTCATAAGTATAGGGTATACTTATGAATTGGTTCCATCATAAAATTCATACAAAAAATTAAAATTGTGAGGTAACAAACAATAAAAAAACCAACTGAATTCAGAAGCTCCTTCTTTTTGAAGTTGGCTGATAAAAAGCAAGCAAATAGCTTCATAAGAAAATTCAAGTACGGCTATTTAAAAAATACTCATAAATTAAATTTACTGGAACGATTTTGGTTAACAATAACAGCAAAAAAAGCTAAGACAATCTATTGTGCAATTTCGAGATAATGTCTGTCATGTCATTTCACTTTAAGGCAGGAAATTTCTTTAATGATGTGGTAAAGAAACATCCTAATTCAATTTTTCAATTCATATTTACCTTTTTATTTATTTTTTAGCTTTAATTATAATGAGACCAACCAAAACCTACTAATCTCAAAATTTGCATATAAGATTTATAATTAGCCTTTTAATATTATATATTTTACTAGCTTTTACTGAACTTCATCCGCGTTATTGGGATATGTTTACTGACCATGATGAAAAGTAGCCTATAGCCTTCTACATCCCATGTGGTACGTGAATAGCAAATTTCATAGCGATTGGTTAAGTCGTTAAGGTACTATAAGGAAACAAAGAAACAAACTCACTTTATAATATTGTCGTTTATTTATTTTACACTTTATTGCATGATTTATAAAATAGTAAATACATTTAATTGTAATGAGAATTATTTTGACATTATTTTGTCTGGAATTTACAACTCGTGACTAAAGTAAATAAAACATTACATATGTATACATATTAACCATATATTAAATAGTGTTGTACTTATTTTTTACGATAATGGCAGTATAAAAATGGAGATACATTCTCGCAACAAATATCTATAGCTCGAATAAAATTATGATGTTATTGAAAATTATATAGAAATACTTCTTTCTATCGAATTTATTTTTAAATAATATATAATAAAGTAAAAAATAAATAAAACAAATGTTTTATATGGATAAAAATATTGCATTAAAGATTGTATAAAAAGACCAAAGACTTTTATTTCTGTACAAAATCAAAATAAGAACCGTGAGAGAATGTAACTTTTGTTAAAAATATAAAAATGTTGCTCTAAATTCAAATACCCACTTCAACCGCTACAAAATTAACATAAGAATAAATCGATCAATTTTAAAAATCATTTATCAAAATCTGTTCTAAATTGCTAAAGATATCGTGTAATAAGCACTATAATGATAATTATATATTTTTACTCATCGTTCATACATTATCAAAACTTAACATTAAAAAACTCTTTAATTCGTAGGTCACTATTTCAACTAATGCAAAAAACAAATCTTTGTTAGTTGAAGATAAAAACTAAGCGTGAAAGACGTATTAGCATTCTCGCCTAATGAGTTACGTTGTTCCTTTTGCTGTAACTTTGCCTTTGTGAGCCATTGAACTTTACGAAACAAAATTTAGTTTTATTTACTAAACTTAAGGGAAGAACATGAAAAGGTTAATCCTCCAGATTATAAACTTTTATGACTTTTATTCTTTGACAAAGAACTACCTATAACATAAATTTATATTTCTAAAAACAAAACCAATCCTGTTGATATCTGTAATAATATCTCTTAATATCTATGTCGTGAAACAATTCAATCTAATCAGTATGACATAAATGTTTCATCTCTGTGAGGTGTGGATAGCTTTATTAAATCTCGGAGCCGTCTTATCTCGCCCATCCCTGTTGAAAGTAGTAACGAAATATTGAGTGCATACGCCCACGTGTGCCCTTCATTGCTGGCGATGTGTGTAGTACTATTACCATCGCGTTGCATGCGAGCCGAGCGCGGTCCATGCAACCCACGTGGCTTGTTTATTATCTTATCTACCTGCTTGTTAATCTGCTGTGCTATTTTCACACAATGTAGAACATATTTTGAAATATAGAGGTACTAGTTAGTACAGATTACAGATACCGCTTCTGTAAAAATGTCGGTGCAGTATAAGAATATTTCAGTTCGTAGCTGTAGGTATCTACCTATTTGTACGTAAGGTAAGAGTATTTTTGTGTGTATTACTATTTTGATATCAACTTCATAAGATTTTCTTTATATGAGAACTCCAATTCACCTAAATAATATATATTATATATGTAAGTGATCGCATGCACTTTGTTAGAATCAATTTTTAAATAAGTATGGCTATCAATTAATTGATGTGAACGTTCATATTTTTTATTTCAATAAAAAAATAATAAAAGTACTCAGTTTCAAAGTATAGCCGCAGCACCAGTTATCGAACCAATCATTATTCAATTTCACTCAAATTATCTGGATTGGATGTCGGTACGTTCGCCACATAAATTTGAAGCTATATTTTATGTTAAAACATCGCTGACATCTAAAATTAGGGCTTGAAGCCACATACTTAAGCAAGTAATTGCTACGTTAATAGGTTAGATTGATTGAAAATCTAATATGCATGTCACTACAGTAGCATTCGAACTTCAGGAACTGAGAGTGTTGAACGTGTCTCGCACATTTACTGTGTCATTAGGTTACCTAGTCGCAAATTGCATACCTTTTTCGATTAGTTATAATCAATATCCTGTGCAACCTCTGTTTGTATTACAAAGAAGTCCAACTGAGAGCTAAAACGTGACGGGAATGCCCAGTGCGTCATATTGTCTGAACAAGGTCAATCGATTTGCGAACTTTGTTGCATTAGGTATGATTATAAATGCCGAAAAGGCGAACGTTTTCTAAATTCTTTTTTACGTTCTAAAGGTTTTGCAAGCAAATTCTACGACGTTCTCTGCACAGAATCTAGTATACTGTGTTCTGAGATATTTCTAAGCGCTCTTTCTTATTACATGTTCAAGGTCATAATTTGGATACTGAGCACTAGTATTATACAGTGTGCAATCTATAGTATTCTCTAAAGAGAGTATTGTGCGAAACAAAAAATATGAGTCTAAAAACAATAAAAAACTTCATCCTTATATACTCATCACGGCGCGTTCAGATGTTGAAATAAAGCGTGTGGAACATCCAAATTTTGTTAGCGTTTCAAATTTTGGTCCATGAAATTTATGTTCTAAAATATACTATAGTATGGGTACATTCTTAGCTGTTCATTCCTATAAGTAAACGGCTTAATTTTCATCTATAAAGATGCAAAATTGTAAGTCTCTATTCCAAGTGGTTTTTCTGTTATTAATAAATCATTAGGATATTTTTCTTTATTTGTGAAAAGATTCTTACTATATATATTGTAATATTAGAGTATAGATTAGAATATATATACTATAGATAATTGGTAGATATATCAGAAAAAATTGATTGTTTATTTGAGTGCGCTAAGAGTTGAATTTTTTTTTTTGCATTTGTTAGTTCTTTTATGAGGAAGTTTATAGGCTATTTGATATCATGATATGACTGCGGGTGAAACCGTGATATATAACTAGTTTTAATTAACAGATAGAAGATTTGAAAAGAACATAGACCATATCCTAAACTAACATACTCGTATAGAAGATTTTTATCATACGAATGGTGAATAGTAATAAAAAAAAACTTGGATATCTCTGGTTACCCCAAAACGACCTTGCATGAAGATAAAGTGGGTATATAGAGATTGATAAAAATAACTGTCCGTGAATAGAGTGTATAAATTACTCCCGGATCTTGGAGTCTTTTGTTATCCAAATTGGCTGCGAGAGCATCTTCAACTTGCTAATAGCGTAACAAATGCACATATTTCACTTTTTATACTAATTCAATTTGTAAAATTTGAGTAGGTAGATGTAGGAATAGAACTTTTCGTAATTTCTGTATCTATGAATGTTAAACCTTTATGAAATTAAACAGTATTCAAAACCAATTAATCATATTAATTGTTTACTAGCTTTTTGTCTCTTACTTTGTATGCTTGAATTTTTGAAGGAAAACCAATGGAATAAACTATTTCTAGACGGTGTGTCAAGATAAAATATACACCAGATTAAAAAAAATATCCTATTTCTTAAAATGATATATCTTGTAATTCATTAGTCTTATTACCAGATCTCATAATATTTTTTTCTTAAATAACTCCAATGGACAGATATTGTCTAGTTATAATTTTATTCATCATCATCATTATCATCTCAGTCAATATCTGTCCACTGCTGAACATAGGTCTCCTCCATAAATTGCCATAAGGAACGGTCCTGAGCTACTTGCATTCACTGACTCCATTTGTGGTAATCACTCCATTTAGTGGGGGGATCAAACAATTTCATTATTTTAGTAAAACTTCTATTGGTTCTAATTTAAAAACACGGATATAAATAAATGCTTTTTTTTAACAGGACCGAGCAAGATTTACGGATACTAGTTGGCAAATACATCGCACCTGGACCCGCAATGGCGACCCGCTTCCGCTGTCGCTGCCGCCCACCCGTTCTAACCCCGCTCCGCTCATCACTTCAGTCGCTGCCGAAAATATACCAAACGTGGATCAAAATGGAATTTATGATACCATAACAGTAAGTATTTTTGTATATTCATTGAGGTAAAATATTTTAGGAAACATTTTGTTTAAGATCGTCACTAAATGTGGATAACCACATGATTAATGTATATATTTAATTATATCCTCGTAAATTGTCTGAAGTTATTTATATATTTTGTTATCTTACATATCATGTTTTACGTACAAAAATAGATATCGCGTTTAGATATACAATAGAAACTTTTATAAATTGTGTTTTAAATAAGTTGAATGACTGAAAAAAAAATTATTGTGCTTTTTGGACCTGAGTTCAGCCTTCGACACAATTAGCCATGATATTATTTTAAGTAAACTTAACTATTATGGTATGCATGCATTTGAGCTATATGTTGAAATGAAAAATGTAGGAAATAATCGTAAAATATTTAAAAAAAATTTATACAACTTAGAATGGCAAACAGCTGACGGTCCACCTGATGGAAAGTGGTAACCATCGCCTATAGACATAAGCAGTACCATGGACATAACAGAGTATACTGTTTCGCCCATGATACCCCCCATGCGTTGCTATTCCTGAGGATTCATTTATAGAATTCTACAATAATAATCAACTTCCGTGCCTTTTTGATGCAAAATATATCTACTCAATAAATGAATTTTAATAATGAAATAACTTACACATTGTTATTTAAATATTCAAAATTACTGTTATTATGCCTTATTTATAAATAATTCGGTTAAATTGTTATATTCTTAATTTGTATATTGTATAATCTTAAAATATATCATTATCAAATTTTGCAATCTAATTCAATTTATTTATGAATAAATGATTTCATTTAGATTATTCATTATTTTTATCACACAGTTCTGCTTTTTAATTTATCTAAATTCTGATGACCAAGAAGATTGGAGAGACTTTTGCCAAGGAGTGGGACATCATCATCAATAGAATATCTAAATTATGTGCTATTGAATAATGATAAGATATAACACTATTAAGAAATTTCATTAAACTAGACGCAAACATATGCAGTTGAATAAAATAACCTGGCAGTACATGCACGTGTGACACAAGCGTCCGATTAAACATAGAAATCGAATCGCGTCTTTCGAACTATAGATTTGCATTAACCGCACATAAATCATAATCCGCCAGTTCATGCCAGTCTTAGAGGCGGTACCCGAGACTCGCCAGTTCCTGTTGTTTCGCTAATGCACCTTTGTGCTGGCATGCTCGTAAAATAGGGTGATTGCCCGGGAACCGTCGCCTGTTGTCACTGAACCTCACTGTTGTTCTTGCTCTAATGCAAGATTTTCTTCTACTTTCAAAAGCAAATTTTATATTTAACAGCATTCATAACGAACACCGAAGTATTGCAACGTTAGAATTATTTGGCAATTTTTAAAAATATATCACAAATTTTCAATATGTTTCATTAATTATTTGAAAAAGTACCCTATTAGTGAACTAAAATGTTCATGATGCAATAAGATTTTTATAAAATTGTCACTGAAAATTTAAATATTGATGGCAAAAAAGTGTTTGTAAACTTTCGAAACAAAATAATAAAGAGGAAATTTATTACTAAAGGTATATGTATGTGTAACTTATTGTATGTTTAGCAATTTAGTTTGCTATTAGAGCCCTTTTATCATAATCAGTCAGAAATATTAAAAATTAATGTATTGCTATTGAAAATTGAGAGATAATTTTAACGTTTTGGTAAATTTTGGTATGAATCTTCTTAAGCACCACACAAGCTTTTGGAATGGTTTTTAAGTTTAACAGTTAATCATATAAAAGAAAATTAGGTTAGCTGTGATGGGACTAATTGAGTTAGGTGTTGTTCTGCGGAAGTCCATTATACTTAATATTTATTATAGCTCTATCAATGTATCAGCAAGTATAGTTTGAGGTTACACGCAATGCAGTGAGGCAAATTCATCAAGAGCTTCCAGTTTAGCAAACAAATGTTAGCTAATGTAAAATGCTTGGTTATGCCTTGTGTCATAACAATAAATGGATTTGCAGGTAAATTGTAATTAAATAAAATCATATTAATTAATACTATATTGGGCAATATTGGTTGATATATAACGTAGAAAGAGAATGACGTTACTATCCTTAATCTATGATATGTAATGAATCTCAGCGAAGTGACAGGTGACTCAATTAAGTAGGTACTTACTCCATTTTTAATTCTTTATCGCCTTATCGATTAATCTAAACTTACAATTGTTATTTGTTACGTTGTGTGCACCTTTTGTACGTTTAAAATGCAACAGTGATTGACTATAACAACCTAGAAATTGATAAATGTTACCGGACGCCGGGTTGACAATATCAAAGTAGACCGCGTGGCCACAGATATTTACTGAGTTATTTCAGGTTCTATGCGCACTATTGTTGTGGTCGTTTGTTCCGATGGAGTGCTGGCGCCCACGCATAACGTGTACAACGTTTCAAACAATTCTCTCTCCTGCCATAGCAATTGTGCTCAAACGAACATTTTATGTAAATATTTACAAACTATTAAGTTCATAAACAAAATAAATTATATACTTTGACAGAAAAGATATTGAACGATGACAGCTCCGTTGAAGTAGGTACATTTGAATGCTGTCCGGGAGTTCAAGGATCGAATTTAAACCCAAATTGTTCAAATGTATTATTATTGAGTAACCATTCTATTATTTTATTACTATATTGTACTCTATTATTATATTTATTTTATTACTTTTCTATTATCGTATTGGATGACCGAGAATTAAAAGTATTTATTTATTTGTGTCAACAAGATAATAGAAAAAATTAAACATAGTCCCATGTTTAGATAATATCTTAACCTAGAATGTTATATTGTATAATGTAATTTTTTTTTTATTTTTGCTTATTTTTCCTATGTAGCATTAAATTTGCCTTTCGTCCCAAATAAATCAAAGTAATCAGCCTATGTTTAGTAATGGACAGCGAATAGCCTTAACGACGATTACGAAGTATTTTAAAAGATTAAAACCTTTGACCCAAGTGTTATAACAATATTACGACACATTTCAATAGGGGTAGCTGTCCGCGGGAGGACAGGGTTCGATTTAATGGGGTGATTGTGTCTGTATAATTGATGCGTCGATCGGAACTTCCTTTCGCGACCTAACGCTAATGCTATCGCTATTATTTAACAGTGAAATATACTTATAAATATAAAATATAGGTGTATGCAAGATATGCCTTCTGATGCCTTAATGGCTCAATTAGTCATCATATAATTTGGTATACATGTAATATTTGGGGTGGATAAAGTCTTAAGCGGCTTTACGCGGTTAAAGCAGTAAGTTCCAATACTTATAGGCAATTTTTTTTATAATAATAAATAATAATATTCTTTGAAGGAATAGCAATACCCAATGCTTAGAAATTCAATTCAGTACATAGTTGAAAGTTTGTACATATAGAATTGAATTGCGAAGAAAATCAGAAACTTCTATGAATTATTCATTGAGTTGAAGGAAGAGGTAGGCATATGGGACCGTATTTTAACTTTTAAAGTTAAGATTGAATAAATTAGAATAGCCAAGGAACATCAGTTGATGCGATCAGAAAAACATGTGACGGTTTTAAATAGTTTAAAAAGTTTTCATTAGAAAAGTAGGACAAAAGTCAGATCACGAATATTTTATGTTACTTATTTACAATTGAAAATAAACTATATTCATCAATTTTAGAAGAAGGATAGCAATTTTATTTATTAACAAGAACATTTATGCAATAGTGAATGTTATGTATTATAAAAAGTTAGTAATCTTAATATTAAATGGTATTAGTGTAACAATTGCTGGGACTCTAAATAAAATAATTATCTTAATTAGGGAATAAAAATATGTATTCAATGAAAAAAAAAATGAAACTCATATTTATATTTTATTTTTTCGTCTAGAAAACTGGTAAGAAACGGAGATAAAAATCACGAAACAACAAACGTCTAAAAAACAATTCAATTACGTAATATATCTACTTATACCGTTTAAGTATTCAACAAAAGGCAAAAGCGAAGTAAACTTTATGGAATTGTAATGCCTACAGTTACCTTATGTAAGTGAGGTCATATTCATTTGGAATTGTAAATGATGATCATGACTTAATCACAAGATCACCAGCGACCTATTACATATCTATAAATATCTTAGATGATGATAAAATTATAGGTGTTTATTTTTGTTTGTAAATTATATTCTGTAAATTATAGTAATAATTAAAGACGCCTAACAATATCAATCATTATAACTCGTAACCTATTGAAGACTGGGCTAATGATATCCACGATTTCTATTATAAGATCAAATTGAAATAGTTTTCGTCAAAAATGTTTAAGTAGTATTGCCGTAACAATATATTGTAAAATTAATAATACATGGATATTTTAAAGTAGATTGTTTTTATTTTGTAACAATGGTTCATTTGTTTATTCTTCCCACGAGTATTCATATATATATATATATATATATATATATATATATATATATATATATATATATATATATATATATATATATATATATATATATATATATATATATATATATATATATATATATATATATATATACATTCCTACACGGGCCAAAAAATATAGATTTGTACTATATTATAAAGAAATACAGGATTTACCTAAATTCTGTTACGTTCTAAAGTCATATGTTAAATCCATGACGTGATCTAATGATCTGAATGTCTGCTTTGATCTCCGATAAACCTTGAAATGTAATTTACCGTAACAGTAAAAATCGCTAAATCGTATAAAATTTTAAAAGAACAACACGTCAGTGGTTCGGAATGTTGTTCGAGATTTATTTCTCGGTGATCGTGATGTCATTGTGCAAAGTTTTTGTTTGTATAAAATGTTTACTTAGGTAAGTTTTGTATTATGTCATAATAATTTTTACTTACTTATTTTATACTAAGCATTGTAGACGTATCAACGAACCATTTGATGGAAAGTTATTTATAAATATAAACAGTGGGTTAACTTTTGA